CCAGTCAGAAAATTAATGTTTTTATAGCTATATTTATTTGCGAGGGGATTAGGTCTAATGGGTTGCCTAAGATTTAGCTGCCTTAATTTGAAACATTATTTCCCCAATAGCAGAAGCACAGTACCTTGCTCTTGGATATTACACTTCATGGTCAAATATATCAGCCTAAGCCCTTTCTGATAGTCAGTATACAAATTCTTCTAATAGCACTGCTGTAGGGTGTTGCTCTCCAGAACCAAACTGAGGCAGATATCTGGGGAAAGCAATGCCTCTGGCTGGTGCAGTTACCTCCAAGAGAGCACATCTGCTAAGACAAAGATAGCTTGCCTACACAGTCACAGCGGCCCCAATCATGTCCACAGTACTTCTTGGTTTGGGGCAAAGTGATAAAAACATAAATCATGATTTGTGTCCAAAGTTGGAATCTTGGAGGAGCAGAGATTTTGACTCTTACTGGCCCTCTGATAGAAAAGCAGAGGTGAAAATATTCCCTTTTCTGGTCTCCAAAACTAGACTAATCCACTATAATATATCACTCTATAAACCAGGAGATGATACTTTTTAAAATTAACCTTTCTGACACAGGTTGAGATCAACAGAGTAAGATATAAACCTACCTATCTACCCTCTAGTTGGGGGATATAAAAATAGGTACTATTGGTCTGGATAGAAAGCCAGTAATAAATATGCATGTGGTTTCATGCAGGAACTAATCGCTTTGCTTTTTACAATGCCCATGGAAAACAATAGTTTTTTAATATTGTCTATCTACATGATTTATATTTCATGCTAGTTCACAAAGGGCTCTGGTTAGTATGTGATTTATTGTTGGAGCAAAATAATTGTCTGAAGCCTAGCTGAAGGTAGGCTTTCAACACATTAATAATACATTAGCTAATGTTTCTTTCTTGGCATTGCCTATGCAAATTTATTTTATCATAATAAAAATGACTGTTTATTTTAGATTGGAAACAGCTTTAGGTGAGAATATGTTTTTTATCAGGTGTCTCGAATAAATACTAACTGCCATTCCCCGATAAACTTTTAACCAGAGATTTTCCTTTAGTCTCAGCTGGTATTTGGTCAGAGAGAGAAACAGCTAGAAATTGAGAGGAGCTCTCTGTGCTCCTCTTTGGCAAGTGAGTTAAAAGTCCACCCTGGCTCAAAACTTCCAACACTGATAACCATCACTGAAAATTATTCATGAATGTGAATTATTCACAAACAATGGACATAGAATTTCATATTTAAAATATATACTGCCTAAATTTGTTCATTTTGTCAAGTAAGCACAGGTAAATATAATTTCATTCAAATTAATTACTTTCTGTCAGAGGCAAACAGCAATACATATTGTCTGTCCAAAATAGTGTTACATTTGATTGCACTTAGGTAGATCAGAAATTAACTTCTCTGCTTGAAATAAATTGTGACTTGATTACCTGCTGAATCATTTCCCTTTCCAAATGATGATTTCACACCAGCAGCCATATAAAAAACATCATATTTTTGCAAATATATAAGGCATTTATTCATGTCAATGTATTCTTCAGAAGGAATCATACTCTGTCTTCCCTGACACTGCCCACTGAGTTTGTACCTGTTAAGTTTCTGAGACCATTTGACTTCCTGAGATTTCTGAAGAGGTAGAACATTTGGGGTGACTGCTTTGAGGAATCTTTCTTTGTAAGTTGTGATTTTTTCAGCAGATACAATGTATGCATGTCATGTGAACACAAGAGTATTTTTGTGGGAAGTAACAAGACAGTTTGTCTGTATTCCTGTGATTCAGAGTGGCCTTACTATGCATTTGTGCCCCAAGCTGCCCATGGGACTCATATGCAAATGAATATTTGATTATTCTGTCTGGTGCTATCCAAAGCAGCTGAAAATAAATACCAAACTGATCATTTTATAAGCTCAGGCTGGCTAATTTACACTCTGGAGACTGCAGAATGAAAATGCTTTGTATTTTACACATATTTTCCTTATCTTTTATTGTCTTTTTGTTGTATTTTGTTGTAATAAAACAACTAATAACAATGCAATTCATATGTGAATTTTAAAGAAAAATACAGAAACAATAATAAATAATTGGAAAAAAATCTGTCGAAAATTACTATTAGCTTAGATTACTATTCTACTATAAATCAAAACAATTTTCCATGCATGTTATATGATAAAGCAATATAAGAATAAATGGATGATTAGCTTTGGAAATATAGGACTGTCTACAATTCCATTGGCAAGAAATTTTCCACTGTAGAGTTCTGACAAGACATGCATGTTAGAGAGGTGACAGAAATTCTGCTGTATCCTTACTGCAGAAATTGGAAAGCTAAAGAGTGCCCAGGAATGCTGTGTGTTCTGAAACTGCTGCTCTTTCTGAATGATAAACAGAGCAATCGTTTTTAAAAAATTGCATTAGTTCTATCTCTGTTTGAGAACACATAAAATTTTTCTCAGATTCTACAAGTCCATTTTTGTGCAGCTGAGAGGTGGTGAAGAGGGGGAAGGGACTGCATGTGAAACCAGTTCTACAAACGTACAAATCATTCAGGGTTAATCTGTAAGGAAAATGTCTTTTTGTCAGTTAATTGAATAGGATTATGTACTTTTCTGGTTGGCAATTGAAAGGAAATGTCCCTCTCCTTTTTGATCCTTCAAGAGCTTTCTGTACTTTAAACAATCACTAGTCTCATCTTGAAAAAAGCTTTTGTTTAATATGTGGTAAGGTGTCTTGAAAGAATTCTCTTGTAGGCATATCCCAGTTTTCTCCCTAAAATCACTGCATATTCTGATTTGACATATCTTTAAAATAGAAATTAAGGAGGAAGTAATATTCAGCCCAGAAGCAGGAGTTCAAACTCATCCTTTTGACATTTCACTAGAAATACCAAGGAAGCCACAATTATACTTAGGCTAAGTATTTTTCTCTATTCCTTCTGATGACCATATCTTTTATTAAAAAGTGCCTAATTATATAGAAGTTTTTGTTTGGATAAAACTAATGCAGAATCTGTATTCCCAGCAGTTGTTCCAAAATTTGTATAATTGGGAACTGAGGTGCTAGAAAATAAATGGATAGGTAAACTTCCATGTGCTTCACTAATTGCTATTCAGTTAAGGAAAAAAGATTGGAAACAAATAATAAGGGTTATTCTCGGGAAAGGGAATTCTCCTGGCATAGTCTTGTACACACTCATTAGACTTGAATGCAAAGCTAAAAGCAGTCAATGAAGATGCAAGATCATAATGTTAAGATTCTATTTTGTTTTGCCCTACCCAGTTGATAGTGGACTAGCAAAAATAATTTTGTACCCAGTAGTACCCTTTAGGTACTGGAAGATTACTACAAGGTCACTCTGAAGCCTTCTCTTCTCCAGGCTGAACAATCCCAACTGTCTCAGCCTTTCCTCATAGATTTTTCATCCCTCTGATCATGTTCATGGCCCTCCTCTGGACCCGCTCTAACAGGCCCATGTCTAGTCTATGCTAAGGGCTGGATGCACTACTCCAGGTAGTTGTATAAAGTTATGAAGTTTTTTCCTTATAATTCCATCACCCAAGCACTGCAATAAGTTTTCTAGATTGTATCTTTCCTATTTGCTGCAAGGCTAATCTCTAATGTTGTCTATTGATTTTGAAAATCAGAAATAAATCTAACAAATTTTCAACTATAGAAATATGTTCCATCACCCCAGCTTGCAGCACACCGCATACTGCAAATTCCTGGTTCAGAAAACTTCAGGGCAATGGTGCAGTAGAATGCAGTTATCTAGAAAAAGAGCACATGAAGCTTTCATTAAGCTTATCATATCAATCAAACTTTGTCCGCTGAAAGCGTTTATTGAGTACAATTTCATGTAACAATAGTCATGGACTATCTTGTCAATCCCATATTATCTGTAATTTTTCTCAAGTATCTTAGGTCCATTCTTGTCCATTTCTATTTTACATGTAAATAAATAAAACATAACTTTCTCGTGGTTTTTATTTTCTTTTGTTTGTTTTTTTCCCTCCTTCCTAATGTCTCCTGAACATTATGTTTTCTTCAGAAGTCATTCTTCTGATAGGTCCACCTCAGTGAGCAGTAATTAAACACATGGCCATCACTGCGGAGAGCACAGAAAACCTGTGTGTGACAACTAATTTTTCAACTTCAGATGGAGTTGTGTTTGTTGTTTTTTCTTTTTTTTTTTCTTTTTTCTTCCTACACTTCTGTAGCTTAGATGTTTGTTTCATTAAGTTTGTTGCACTGACACAACAGTTCCGCGTTTGCTGCTGGGTGTCTGCGCGGCTTCCCGAAGCACGAGGCTGAAAGATGCCCTCCCGGGCCGTGCTTCCCAAAGGATCTGCCACCGGAGCCGGGGATGCCGCGGCCGCAGCCATCCGCCAGCCTGGAGAAAAGTGGACAAACCGGGGCGGCCGAGGACAGCCCCAGCGCTCCGGCCCGTGCCGTGCCCGGGCTCCGCCGGGCCGAGGGGCCCCTCGCCCCTTCCCCGGGCCCCGGCGGCGGGCGGCGGGCAGTGCCGGGGTTGGGGTGGGTTCAGCTCCGCTCCGCACCGCCCAGGCGCCGGGGGCGGTGTCCCCGCTCCGCCCCGCCCCGCCCGCTCCCCGCCCGCTCCCCGCCGTAGGCGCGGGCAGCCGCGAAGCCACCGCCGGGCGGAGCGGTGCGGAGCGGGGCCGGGCGTGGGGCGCGGCGGAGCGGGGCAGCCGGGGGCCGGCGGAGGAGCGGAGCGAGGCGGGGCGGAGCGGAGCGGTCGCCACCCGCCCGGCGCCGGGGCGGTGCGGAGCGGAGCGGAGCGGCCGCGGGAGGAGCGGGGCGCGGGCGGAGCGGAGCGCGGCGGCTGCCGCTGCCTGGATGCCAGAAGCGCCTCTGGAGCCAGCGGCCGGCGGCACCCGGGAGGGCCCGGGAGAGGAGGAGGAGGAGGAGGCGACGGCGGCGGCGGCGGAGGAGGACTCCGGGCGCGGAGGAGAGGAAGCAGGCAGCGCTTGCCATGGCCTCCAACTTTAACGATATAGTCAAGCAGGGCTACGTAAAAATCCGCAGCAGGAAGCTGGGGGTGAGTTCTTTCTCCCTTCGACGGCCCTGCCCGGGGTGGGGGCGAGGCGCTGGGTGTCGCCTCGTTGGCCTGGGGGGCGGTGGTGCCCCGGGCCGGGGCCGCCAGCGTGGGGCGCGGCGACCTGCTGCTGCTGCCGCTGCTGCTGCTGCTGCTGCTGCTGGTCCTGCCGCTGCTGCTGCTGCCGCTGCTGCTGCTGGGGCTACCGCTGCTGCTGCTGCTGCTGGTGCCGCTGCCGGGGCTTGGACTTCGCTCCCAGCTCCGGAGGGGTCGGTGGGGATGCGCTGCCATTGCGCCTCGGGAGAGCCGGCTGCTCCCCTCTCCGGGAAGGCGCCGCTCCGCCTTCTATCTCAGCCATCGCCCGCCAGGGTCACTGTCCACCAAAAGCTGCGCCCCGTGCCCCCGTCCTCCTAGGGTCCCCAGCCCAGGCCGGGGCTGACACTCCCCTTTGGCCGTCCCTGCCCTCCCCTGTCCCTCGCCTTGCTGCCTTCGGCAAGGGCTCGGGTGGGGAGAGGAAGGCGCAGGCAGGAGCTGTAAACTTTGAGTACAGATTCTCCTTCTCTTTCTCCCTCTCATTTCGGACAGGGATGTTTTCAATCAGGGCAGGGTCGAAAAACACGCTGCTGGTACTGGAGTAACAGAGTAGCAGAGTAAAGCGTTTGTGGAGGTGCGATGGTGCTGTGCCCTCGGGCGCGGGGGACTGGGGAATGGGAGCCTGCAGCGCACCGGGATGGGCAGGGAGGCAGCGGGGTGACAGCTTCGTGAGCATAAAGACAGATGCAGAGGCTGACAGTGATAAAAACTGTGAGAGTGGTTGATCGAAGTGCCCACCAGGATGCTCAGCAACACCGTGTGTGCTATGAGATTGGCCACGGGCACTTTTCCTGAAGGGGTGCGGCAAATGTTGAAAAGGCGGTGAAGTTGGAGCAGAGTGTGTGCAGAGGTGAGGATCTTCTAAACTTCAGTCGGTCCCGGGAATCATCGGTTTGGGCTGTCTCCTACCCTTTATGAGAGAGCAGAAATGCTTGCTTGCACAGCTACTGATGTTGCCAATAATCCCGAAAGGTCCAAGTCCCTGTTGGCCTGAGGCTGGAAGGAGGTCTGAGGTTCTTTGTGTTCACTCTTTCAGTTTTTCTTCAGGTGTGCAGAAAGGTGCAGGGTCTCTACCACCTCTCCCTTCCAGGGAGGTGGTCCCTGCTTCCCCTGAAACCTAACAGCAGGAACCATATGAAATCTGCCCTCCTCCAAGTAGTGCTCTGTGAGCTTATCACAGTGCTAATATTTATCTCCTCCTCCCCGTCTCTCCCTTCCCCCCCCCAGATGCTGTGCATTGCTTGCAGACACAGTGTGCAGGATGGTGGGACACTAATCATAAATTGACCTTTGGAGCACTTTGGTGACTTGGCAGGGCCGTTAATTCCAAAAGAGCACAGGAAAGTTCAGTCCAAACCCTTAATAGCTTCAACTGCAGATGTTTGAGAAATGGTGTAAATCCAAAGAGAATGGATGCTCTTATTAATGATTTTGCAACCCCAAAGTCGCTCCGTGCATCGTCAAGCATTAATCTTATCTGAAGAAGCAATTTCTAAGCCTTAGTTTGTTTCTGGCAGTCCTCTGCTTAACCTTTGCTCATCAGTTTTTTTCCTCTTCAGCAGTGTTACTGGATGGGCCCAACACAAAGCAGAGAGATGATGGTATCCCATCACCTTGATGTTAGTAGTTGGAAACAGAGTTAATCTATTTGGTTTGCAAATCTGATTTTGAAGCCATCTCAAGTGTCCTTTAAGTGTGAAAATATGTATATGCATGTCTCTATGTATGCAAATACTTTTATATACCTATGCCTATGGCGTATGTGCAACAAATGTAGAGTTCATATCACAGTAATCTTGGATGATACTTTTTGACCTGTTTAAAAAAATTGTGAAGGGAGTGATATTTCATTGCAGAATATCTTATTTAGCTTGAATATTTTGTTTTGAAGATGGTAATCTGATTTCTTAAAGGGGGACACATAAAACTGTTTTTTTTTCATGGATATTTTCCATGGTCGCAATGATTATCGTGCCTCTACACTAAGCAGAGGGAAATAGTTCATACAGTGTTTGTGGAGGATTTTCTCCTACTGGAGTGTGAGGGTGACAATTCAGACTATACAGCCTCAGGCAGGTGGTAGTATAAGCTTAAATATGACATATGGAAATGCACATCTGAATAAATCTATTAAATAGAATTTAAAAGGGATTATATTTTATAGAAAATAGCATCAAAATTCAAATGAGTGTGATGGTTGAAAGGTATGAATATGTGTGTATATATCCATAGCTAATTGGATTCTTGTGACTGAAAATCTAAATGAATGCAATTTTTATTCACCAAGTGAAACATTAAGGGTTTGTCTTTTTTTCCTTTATGTCTGTCTCCAAGTCCAAATCTTAATGAGTTACACTGAAGCTGTCGTAATGTAGGTGAATACATGAGTTTTCAAGATATAAATGTCTGCTAGCAAATTAATATTTTTAACCTCCAAAAATACTGAAAAGAGGGAAGAGAGCTATGGATTCTGGAAACTAAGGCTAAGATAATTTTTAAATACGGCAATAGAATTTTATCTCTTGCTAGTTGTGTTTCATTCTTACACACTGGAAGTTACTGGGGTAGTTTTTTTGGTCATAATAGTCTACATTCTTTGAATATTTCAAAGTCTTCTGAAAAGCAGATTGATTAAAACTTGGAGAGCTGAGGTGTCTAGTACCAATTTTTGTGCTAGACTTGGGCTATAAAACTAATTCTAACCTCTAGGCTGGTACCCAATTTATTATTGAAATTCTTCCAATTCAGCTTTTATTCTGTTTTATTTTGTGACTGAGGGATCCGTGGCTAGGAATCAAATGGAAGATAGTTCAATAGCATATTTTCATTTTATTGAAAAAATCCCACAACAATAAGCTTTCATTTGGGGAGAACTTTTTAGTAGAATTTACTTTATCAGGAAATTAATTTACAAAAACCCAAGTAATAAATCTTCATCTAATTATAAAAGAGAAATCTTTTTTTTTTTTTTTTTTTTTTTAACAAGGTATAGTGTTTTCTTCTGATGTTTTACACCTACCTAATACCTTGCTTTAAGTACTTGTTACTCCATCTGCCTAGTCCTCACATACCTTCAAATTCTATTAATAGTATTCATGAAGTCAGGATTTGAGCTTTTTTCCCATCAGGAATTGATTCTGTTCTGAAAAGTGACTTGAAGACAAAAATGATGCCTAAACGTTGATGGAAATACATGGCAAGAAGAACTGCGAGAATTTGTCCTTACTTTTTTGTTTAGTGATACTTGATCATTAACTTTTATTTTCCCTGCTTTTCACTGTAATCCTTAAGTGCTTGTTTACAGAAATAGATTAATAAGTAAATTGAATGGTATATTCCTCTGACAGTTCAGTATTTTCAAGTAGACCTCATTGTTCTGATACCTTTGCGATGTTAAAGTTGCTTTTGTTGTAAAGTTGTATAGTGAGCTGAGGAGGCTTACCAGCCTCTCTGCTGTTGTATTCTGACTCTGGGAATATCATGGTTTCTGCAGTGGAGATATCAGGCCACAAAGACACATCCAGACAGTCTGACCACTTAGCTTATCTCCTTATTTTGGTTAGGCATGAACTGTACATGAAACTTTTCTCTGGTGCCTTGAAATGTCAATTATATGCTAAAGGCTATGTAGTATGCAAGCTCATGTGTATACGTCACATCTTCATCAAGGTGTTTTTGAAACTTAGAAATTGTAGTCATTGAGGATGACTGTAATTAAAACATCTTTAAAAAAATCTGTTTCCCTGCAGCCTAAATATGCCTTTATTTTCAGTGCCCTGGCATTCTCGCATTGTTTGATATTTTGCTTTTCTCTAATACTGCATAAAGGAAATAGTCATTCTTGCAGCCATTACATTTGACCTGTGTGACCCTTCTTTGAAATAAATTTGATTGTAATGTGGTGTGCTGTTCAGATCAGAATAGGTCATTTGTGTAGTGTGGAACAGGACTGTGCTGCCTTTGTTCTTTTGGAATCTTTCATACTTGTGTCACATTAAAATTCATATGACACAATTTTCTACTGCACTGGCTGTACTTATAGGCTGAAACTTTCTTGTAGCAGATTGGAGTCCCTTTGTTGCTTCCTAATAGACTAAGCTGTGAGGATTTCATGTCTTGCTGAAGTGCTGTTTCTTAGAAAAAAAAATTGATGTCACATTAGGAAGTCTAATTAAAAATGAACATTGTGTCACTTTGATGGTCTTGTTTTGACCCATACCAACCTTCGAAGTTATAATCTTATTGTTTGTTTGTTTTTGTCTTTTTTTTGTCATGCCTCGGCCATAGAATGAAAGAATCCTATCTCTTGGAAATTTTCACTACGTTTGTTAATAATGACTAATTTTTCCATGTTTCCACATACTAAGTGAAATTATTTTCTTGGTGCTTCAGTTTATAGGCTAATATACCTAGCTGAAGAGAAAATTGTCCCTGCCAGCCAGTCTTGATTGAGGAATAAATAGTGGGTTGCTCTTAGTCACCAAATTAGAAGTTTTACCATATAACCTCCCCCTATTTTTAACCATTCTTTTAGAATATTACAGGTACCTTTTCTGTAAATGAACACAGTGTTTCTCCTTCTGGAATTAACCCCGACTTCAATCAATCGGGACTAACAACACTGAATACGAACCACTGATTGCAGCGTGGTTCCTCTTGAAATCGTGCAGTATGTGTCTTGGAAAATCCTAACATTCAATTGATATTTTGTGTATATTTTGGGTGAAGAAAGCAAAGAGACCTGCAAAATTTCTTGGGTTTGAGATTACATTGATGGATCGCACTGGCTCTGCAAGTGGGTCGTGATGAATACAGAGGGTAAAGGTTCTTCTATTTCTTTGAGTTGCCACAACTTACACTGAGAAACAAGTAAACACCTAAAAAAGTACAGGCAAGTAGTGCACCTGGAA